ATTCGTCATAAAAGAAAAAAATATTTACATGTAAACTGACACATACGGAAGTACAGTTCTTACTCCTGTTGAGTAATCAATCAGACTAAAGTATTTTACTTCTGAGCTGACTCTGAGGTACAGAGTGGTTGGTTTGTTTGTTTTTTTCCATTATGACATGAGTTGCCTGTGAGAAATAAATATATGCTGTTTGGAGATAAATAATTCAAGCATGGAGGAAAGGCACTCAAGGCATGAATCGTGTTTTTTGGTTCAGTAACCTGTTCAGCTTTCTGAAAATGTGTTAATTTCTCGTGCAAGTTGGAAAGTTGGTATGAAGTGACAAGCAGCAGTGAATAGCATTTAGATGAAAATACTTTTGAGCTGGACAGCACAGGTTATTTTTGAGTAATGTCAAGATGTAACAGTGTAAAAACTAGTAACAATAAATAGTGCTTCTTCAGGACTAAATAAAAAACAGTCCTGTTTATTTAAAAGAATTTAAAAGGCTAAAATATCTTAGATCAAGTTGTAAAAAAGATAAATAAAATGGGTTAGAAATAAAAACAAGCTTACATTTTTCATTTCAAATGTTTTCGTGCTAGAATCTTAAAGGTAATTGAGGTTCTTTGGATCATACCCCCAGGTGCTTAATTTGTGCAGAGAAGAGATAGTATTGCATTTGTAAATGAATAATTAAAACATCACTAAAATAACTATGTGGCATTGTACGTTACTAGCTAAGTGAGCAGTATGATGTGGAGTGTGAGAGCTCCAAAAAGAATTGACTGGATATTAAGTATAATTGGGGGGGTTAGATACATATTAAAAACATTAAATGCTTTTTAATTCAATATTAAAACCATTAAATGCTTTTTAATATGTCTGAGGATTTTTGTTGTTTTAGTGATATTTATTTAAAGATGCCATTATTTTCTGAAGAGTTTGAAACATTTTTTGGAAAAGAAAAACTGTTTAATAACAGGGAGGTTACTATTTGAGAAAGATCTGCTAATTTGATAATTAAGATGAAGAGATGGTAAGTTTCTGTGTTCTAATAATTCTAATTCTACTGATGATAATAATAAAAGTGAATTAAAGTGATGTTAATATAATACTTCTGTAATGAGTATAACTTTCTATGCCATTTCCATAGTCAGCAATTCAATTAGTCTTAATAACTTAGTAGTAAGACATTTGTTCTTTTAGTATTTCTAAAACTGTGTTATGTTATTATGAATTTCAAACATTCATTTTTGTTTTTCTTAAGAACTGAGTATAGTTATGAAGTTTATAAAAGTAGGACATTTGAATTTGAAATATGACTGTGAGAAAGTATTGCCTTTCTACTGGTTTGTGATTGCAGAAGAAACCACTGGGAACCTCTGAGAGTTTTTAAAATGCTTTTCATGGTACGATTAATGCCCAAACCAATCAGAATTTATGACAATGTGTTTTGAATCAAACTAAATCTGGTGCTGAATGTGTCATAAATGTATTTTATATGCAAAACAGAACATTTTTTATTTTTTCTGTTTATGAAGTATAACTGCTTGACACTTCAACTGTGAGAAACTAATTGAAGGATTAATGTGATGTATGAAAACTTTATTTGTAGATGGGAATCTGTACACATTTACATGTGGAAAATTGAAGTACAATTTTATTTGTGTTTTTTTTTTTTTTTTTTCCTGGCTTTATAATGGTAATACATTAAAGGATTTTAACTTGATAATATACTTAATCTGTGAACAAGCATTCTAAGATTCTTTTCATGGATGCAAATTGATATGGAAATATAATTTTGAAGTACTATGTTCACTCTGAATTACATCAATAATTAATTAGTCTTGCTGCAGCTAAAGTTTCATTCTTTCTGTAAGGGATCAGCCAATGCTTTTTTTCACTCTAGAAAGATGTCATCAGATACTGTGTTTCCATAGAGAACTATACAGTTTGCATCCAGTGCCTTTTTTAACTAATTAGTACCCAGGAAGTAGTCAAGAAAAAAACAAAAGCATTGTGTTTTCACGTTACTTTTAGGTTGTGTTTAACTTCCTTAAGCACATATTTCATGAAAATGAAAATATTTAAGAAAAAAGCTTTCCTCACCTTGTTGCTCTGCTTGATGCAGCAGGCTTTCTCATGCGAAAGGAATGATGAGGGACTCTCTAACTTTATGGGTCTTTGTATTTCGGTTGTAGTGTCTGAAACTGAAAATGCCACATGCCTGCTCTTCCCTGTTGCACTGTTTGTTTTATTCTGCCCCTTATATTTCTCGTTCTTTCTTGGACTTCAGTGGGTTGGAGGGTGAAGGTCAGACTTTGAAGGTTTCAATTATTTCTAGCTTTACCTACAGTTCTTCAGGAGGCAATGTTCTCAACTCAGTTGAGAGTTGCTCATGTTTTTCCTAACTTTTCTGGTGTGATCTAACAAAAGAAGGAAAAATTATACTCAAGTTTTATATTGACTAAATAGAGGTTGTAGTCCATTTGGGGTTTCTGTTTTATCCTTTTGGGACTTCTTTGGTTGCCATCCTGGTATTTCTTTAGTAATTTAGTCAGGGTGGGTGGTTTGAAGTTATTGGCAGATTCCTTTTCACGTGAAAATTTTCAGGGTTCTAGGCACAATGTTACATGATCTCTTCTGATCAGAGGTAAAAAGTGAAGCAGTGAGTAATTTGTTCCACAAATTTGAATTTTCACAGTTTCAGATAGGTCTGGATGTCCAGCTCAAAATAGAAATGCAAATATGACCAATTCCTTTTAGATGGTAGAAGGTGCATTTCTTTTGATCTTTCTTTTCCAGTTTTTAAGACACACCTGTATAATTATTTAAGAACAGCACCACAGACACAAATGTTCCCTGTCATCGCACAAAACAAACTGAGGAGGTTTTGGAACTGCGTGTGTTTCTCAATCAGCACTTTTACATAGATGTATGAGCCCAGATTTGCAAAGGGCATAAGCAGACTTGGAGGAGAATTTAATCTGGAAGGCTCCTGGGAAAGTGCAGTTCAGCCCCCTGCTCAAAGCAGGGCTAAAGTTGAAGTTGGATTCTGTAACTGATATAGGCAATCTGTTCCAGTGATAAACTCCCTCTTATTCTGAAATTTTTGCCCCTCATCTACAACTGGAATTTTGCTTGTTGCTACTTTGGACTGTTGCCTCTTGTCCTTTTGTGTTGCACCTCTGAGAATGCAGTCTGTTGGCAACTTTTCTTTAATCCTGCTCCTTTTTATGTAGTGAAAGATTTTGCCACACAGCGTTATACCCTAAAGTGAAGTGCCAAGATCTTGGCAAATGGAGTTCATAAATCTGATAAATCTTCATAAATCTTTTATAAATAGAAAAAGAGCAGAAAGAGCAGGAAGAAAGGAATATGTGAAATCCTAGCTTTCATCCAGATGAATGCAGCCGTGTTCAGTCCTGAAAGATGCGTGTCTCTGTGTTGAGGCCACAAAAAACACTCCCAAGTGTTAAGGAGGCTGTTACCTCAAGGTCCTATTCTCACTCTTTAGCATGCAGGTTTGAGACGTAACTGATGTAAGAGGCTATATTGTTTATTAATTCATCAGCACACTACTAATAAACAAATGAACAGATTAATTAACTATTAAACATACCACTATGAATCACTTACAGTTCTATAACGCTTTACAGCATTGTTAATTGCATGCAATTATTGAGTTCTATCACTTTTTTCTTATAAATTGCACCCAAATATTACTGAATTATAGTTCTATAACCCTTCACTGTAACCTCCCACACTACTTAGTAACAAATTTGCAATTCTTTACTCACCCTTTAACTTCTTACATCAAGTCTTTCAGATGTAGACCCAGTGGGGAGTCCAGTGGGTTGCCCAAGAAGCTTCCCCTCTGACATCCTGGCAGCCTTGATTAATGAAGCAGGTCAGCTTCATTATAGTCTATGGGCATCTGTGCTCCTTCTGTCAAAAGATCTGTCCTCTCTTGTTCCTGAACTGCTTTTACAACTTGTTCGTTATTTCTTACATTTCTAGACTCTCTTTTTTGCTGCCCTTCTATATCCCTTTCTCTGCCCAGTCTCCTTTCAGATAAGCAAACTGCCCCTTAATTACTGTTTCCCCATTGGTCCAGTTTGCTACATCCATTCCCAGATTTCATATTTCTAAAACTATTTCCTAGGTAATCTTGACCTTAAATGGTATTACTGATGTTGTTACTTATGTACTGATGGACTTGCAAGATTCTACTGCTGCAAAAGATGCCCAATACTCCCTTTCAGTTTTCTGCTTAATAGCAATTACATATTCTTTATTTTATACACTTTCTAAGACATGTCAGTCTACTTCAGCCTTTTTTCCTCCACCTGGTTTTGATTAAGTATGCTTTATCTCGATTCCACTTAGCTCTTTCTGGTTTTATGTGCAAGTGACACACAGCATACCATTATGTGCTTTTTCTCATTCTGTTTTTTGCTCACACAGTATACCACTTGTCAGGGAGCAGCAAGGGCCAGCTGATCCCTAAGGGAAGAGGAGCCAGGAGCTGAGCGTAACAAGGCTGGCAGAGGCAGTGGCCTCACCAGCAAGGGCTAATTCCCTCCCCAGCAGCACTGTCTCAGAGCTGGCCCTGAGTCCATGTAGCCAAACCTCCAGCATCTTCCATGAAGGGGGGATGCTCTTAGCTCCCTTCCAGTGCCCTCTCTCTCAGATGTTCCATCAAAAACCATCAGCCTTGGCACCTGCTGATGATCTCCCCATTTTCTGCAGAGACCCTGTCTTGTTATGGGGGTCCGGTACTGCCTTGCTCACAATGTCAGTCCTCCCTTAGATAAGGATGAGATGCTTCTGTGTTCTTTGAAAAGATGATTAAACATTAACTCAAATTTAAATAGTGGTTTTTTTCATTATCTCTACATATATTTTTTGAACTTTAGTAGTATTTTTTAATGATCAATTCTGATATAATATTATAACTTTTACAAGTTAAACGTTTACAACATTTTTAAAAAAGTGTTTGTTTCTGTTTCTTCTAGTATCTCCTGAAGCAATTGGATTCCTGTCTGCTGTTGGGGTGTTCATTATTCTCATGTTGCTACTTTTCCTGTATATTAACAAGAAGATGTGTTTTGAAAATGTTAGTGGTTTCCCAGATCTCGATTCAGGATACACTACAAGAAAGAATTCACAAGATAAACTTTGTAAGTATATGAAATACAGTGTACTAAACTTAATTATAAGAATGCACATTTTTGCAAGGATGTTTAGAAATACAGAAATAATCACTTGATTAAAGTGATGAAAACACACAATGTTGACTTTTCCCGTGACTGTGTAGTATGTGGAAGGAAGAAACCTTTGTATTCACAAGCCACAGAAATTCAACAGCTATATAACGAAAGAGTTAACATTTACTTATGGGAAGATATTTCTCTTGCACTATGAGAATATTCTTGAATGTATTTCAAATGTTCTATAATTGTGTATAATTAAATTTTCTGAAGTAAATTTGTGAATGGGATTATTGGGTTTTCACTCAGCCTGTTAAAATCCTTCACCAGCCTTTTAGAGAAGGTCTTGCATTTACTCAACTGGAAAATAATTTTAAAGAAGTAAAGCATTAGAAACTAAAGACATCTTATCTCTGACTAACAAATTATTTCTATCCTTTTTTAATAGAACAAGGTCTTTAATAGTAATGTGAATTAAAAAAATAGACCTTGAAAAAGATACTGAGGGTTGGTAAAATAACCTGTTTCTACTTTTGGGCTATGGAAACTGAATGGGCTTTGTTAGCTGACTTGAGAGGAAGAGACAGGCACCAGAGAGCAGAATGGGAAATTTGAGAGGTTTTCTTCCCTTCTACCTCTTTAAAAGGTGCAGCTAAATTTTTATTTTTAGTTTTCTTGGAGGCAGAAAATTCTCCCCCTGGAAATCGTCTGTCATCTTAACTTTCTTTTGCTACAAAACAGGTATTCATGTTCCAAAATATTTTACTTTATGTAAAAGACAGCAAATGTTTTTGCGTGAAGAAGTCTTCATGATGCATGGTTTTATGCAACTATTATGTTAAAAGCTTGTTTTAGTGTGACATTGATGAAAGGACGTAATTTAAATGTCTCGCAACTTCTTCTTTGCAGGTTAGAATAAAAAAAAAATATTTCCACCTCATACAGTTGTCTTATTTTTGAAAATAATGAATTTTATTGTGGCTAGTTGATGCTGCAGTTGATGAAAGACTATGGTTTTGCTGGTTGATTGTGGCTTCATCTCAAGATACTTAGCTGCTTTCTTATTATTTTCGATGCATATTGAATGGAAAGAGCAAAGCTGCAACTTCCCCATGTAAATGTTTTGAGTTTGAGATAGCGGAAGCAAATAGCTCTGAAATTGAACTTGGAGAAGTGGAGTTGATCTGTTTGTGAAACAGAGGACCTTTTGTTATTAAAAGTTGTTGCTGAATAGGTTGGACAAATGGCATTTTTCAGAAACCTGCACCAAAATCTGAGCCTTCCCTCCGTGTCTTCTCTGGTCCACACACTTAGCAGTGCTGTGGATGATCTGACCAGTGTTGTTGGAGAGGTTGGCTACAGTGTAGCTGATTCAGTAACAGAACAAGTAACAAGCATGATAAATGGGCTTCGTGCAGAAGATGAAAGCTCCAAAATTGAGAATGATAAACCTGTGGAAGGGAGAGAGGAACATAGGCCATCATTAGCTCATTCTCAGGAAATAAATGTGAAAGTGAAGACAGGTATTGCAGAACATAAGGAGACTCATTATTGTAATTCGTTAGATTTTGTAAAAAAAGATACAAGTCAAGATGGAGTATCTGACCATGTCATGAGCGAAAAACAGTGCCAGTTAAAAGACGCAGGTAGTAATGATCATTTAAGTCATACGGAAATACCTCAGAATTTGAAGACTGTAGGAGGACCTTTTAAAAGAGAAGCAGTAGGAGGAAATGAGTGTTTTGTAAATGATAAGTTCTTGAAGGATAGTAACCTGAAAAGTAATAAATCTACAACGGAGCAATCTGTTGAGAAACAAGATAATTGCCTATGTGTAGTATCACATAATTCTAAGAACCACTTACATAGAAAAATCAAACCAAGGTCACATGAAGTTGATTTTAAGGATTCTGACGAAGTGGAAAGTTTGAATGTTCCCCAAGATTTAGAAACAAAACTTGAAGTACAGAAACAAAAATTATCAGACTGCAGCTTGAAGAAGATGCACAATGACCATCCCAGTTGCATTAATGAAATCAAAGAAAAGAAATCTGAAGCCTTTTTTGACAGAAAAGGAAAATCAGTATCGAAGGATGAAGACAGTATGTCAACTATCGTTGCAAAAGCGGGTAAAAAGAAAAACTCAAAGAAATCAGAAAGAGAGCTATGTGATAAGAAGACAGCAGGAAAAGGTGAGGTGTCTGTCAGCGAACTGCATTCTTCAACCTTTCCTGAAACTTATGATCCTTCCTACTTTTTTCACCCAATGTACACATTAAATAATAGTGTTTCCTGTGGATGAAAGTAGGTCTGTTTTGTCAGTGCTTCATTCTCTAATTATGTTGATATTTCTTGGAAGTTAATTACTTTTAAAAGTATTACTTAAATGAACTGATTAATAAATGCTTTTCCTGTGTTCTAACTTTTCTTTTCCTATACACAGTTTTTCTTACCTTCTCTACAGTGCCTTGTGTGATTTCTGTTGAAAACTATGGATTAATTAATACTGGAAATTAACAGTTGTTCTGTGAAAGTGGTTTTTATTTTGTGTATTTTAAAAACATTGCATAAAATGTGATAAGATCAAAAAAATAACTTATGTAACATTTACATTTTAGTAGATCTTCAGAATGTATTTCTGGGATATGTGAGATAATACTTTCAAGACACAATGCTCAATGAGAAGTGGCAACGAAGTGATTTTAAGTATAGAAAGGACTGAATATGGCTTGTCTTAAAGTTGTAGTCTTAGAAAGAAAACCTATGTATTGTTGATATGGATGCTGTGTGTACTGTCTTCAACATCCAGTTTTAAATGATATGACAATGGAATTGCAGGAATAGTTTGTGAGAGGTGGTATCCATGTTTGTATGATAAACTATGATCTCATCTGTTATTTCTTCACGTAATACAATATTTGTAAAGCATATTCTCTATCAAAAATGGCATTTTAGGTCCCATAATAAGCAAATGAGTAGTTTTCAATAGCTTAATAATTTCTTAGACCTGCATTGGCCAGATAAAGGAAAGCTTTTAATAAGAAAATGAATGCTCTTAAGCACTTTTCCAACTGAGATATAAAAATCAAAAGGGACGTCACAAGGAGAGGCATAAAACCCTGAGGATTTCTTTTAATGTGCAAGAAGCTATTTTTTCCTGAGAAACTGAAACGTATTTGTATTGTTCATTTAAAAAATGTTTGCGTGGATAGCTTGTGTTTTAACTTTAATGAGATTTTTAAGTCCTCTGAAGAGATCTTGTTTCAGGACTTGTAATAATAGTATACATCCTCATTCTTTTTCTTTTATGCTAGGAACTGGAGAAAAAATGTCTGGCATCACTGAAAACTGGATGCTTACAAACGTCACTGTATTATTAGAGGCATAACTTTCAGCACTTTTTTCAAACATGTTGTTACTATGTTTTATACTATTCCATTCTGTATGCAGACTGATTAATGAACCTAATTTCATATTTGTGAATACATTTCTTGTAATGATAAATGATGCATCTAATACAGATGTCTGGCACTGTAATTTAGTCCCGGTATGCCCTGCTTTAATTATAGTTGTAGAAATCTGTAGAATTCAAGTTTTCTAGGTGGCAGGTTTCAACCTATTGAGGGCCATGTGGGATACAGATTTTTACTCTGTGTACCAGCAAAGGAGCCTCGTTTTTCTGGGCAGCCTCTTGCAGTGGATCTGCTAGCCAGAATATATCCTGCTTGGTGTGATATTTTCAATAAGTGATCAGTGAAATTGAACTTGCTTTATAGCTATCCATACAGTGGGAAGAACCATATCTGTTAAACTTGAATTAAAATTGGTAGCCTAGAGTTGAAAGATTTAGTTGTCCATTAGCAGTCTTTTAAGGCTCCAATTTTCCTATAAATACTAAATCAAGATTACGTACATATTGCATGTAGAGCTGGTAGCACTGTCTGCAGTTAAGGTTTCCTGACATTTTCCATTTCAAGACCTTATTTTCAGTTTCCTAAAATTGTGTGCCAAATTTGAAATACTTGGGATGAAATTTGGCATTTCATCCAGTTGAAGTTGGATTGAATTTTGAATTGGATATATTTGAATTGGATCTCTCATTTCTGAGATACTACTTTTTTTTTTTTTTTTCTTTTTTGTAAAAACCAACAACCTATAGTTTAAAATCTTTAGCTATTTCCGAGAATAAAGTATGAGAAATACGTGCTGGTTATCTGTGCAAAAAATAAGTAGATTTCACATCTGCTTCACTAAAATGCTTTGGCACCTTTGTATATTGGAGCATGTACTTGAAATGTGCTGGAGTACTTTTCCCATGTCAGAGACACCCATATTCTTCTATGAATAAACACATAAGTTTGACCAAGTTGTAAATCTTTGGAAACTTTGCCTTTCAAAAAGGCATAGTAAACACAATTTGCTTGCCAAATTCACTGACCGTCCCATTTGCACTCATGTGCTTCATTGTAGGGGTTGAAGAACAGAGCAGGTCTTATCCTGCTTTTGATACTTAGGTTATTGAAGGATGCTGGAAATTAGAAAAGAAGAATTGAAAGTAAACACGACTTAGGTGAGGACAGAAACTTCCTAAACAAGTGTGACACGATGCAAGGGATTTGAAGTAGGATAGATGACAGCTATGGAGAGAACTGAGAACATTATATGAAGGTGGAGAGACTAAAAGCGAAAGACTGAGGTTACATGAGTAGTTGGTTAGGTGCAAGCAAAGAGAATTTGGGACTGAATAGACAAAGAGAATAAAGAGAAAATCCCCATAAGAGACTAAAAGTGGGTACTTGGAGCAGGAACCTGGAGTATGGGGCCAAGACAGGAACTTAGGATAAGATTCTACTCATACAAATCAAACTTTGCAAAAGGTGTCTTACCTAGACTTGCAGCATGGGCTTTTCTGTATGAGTACCAGGGAGAGATAGACCTCTATGGGAAGTGGTTTTACTCATCTACTCTGGAGGCTTACCTAAAAGTGGGAAGGTAGGACCTCTGTCCTAGGAAGAGACAAACACTTGACTGTAAAAGAGGCCTAGGTGGCTGGCATAGGTTGTTACTTTTAATTTTGAATGGGTGAATTTTGGGTAAGCTGAATCCCTCCTTTAGTTGGAATACCCAGGCAGAGAGGAGTGAGACTCTGGGCATGAAAACAGAGACTAATGGGAGGAGAAATGCAGAACTAAAGCTAAGGACAGGGACTGTGAGGAGGGCATAAAAGCGAGAGGGGAGAAGCGGTTGAGCATGGCTGGATAGTACATTAGACAATATTGCCTTGCAGAATCAGGAGCTGAAAAACAGCTTTATGGGCGTCTCAGAGCTCTGCTGGTAATGGAAATCCATTGGCAAATCATATACCATAGGCTTGCTCACAAACTAGTGGTAATGCTGACCTTTCTTGAATTTATATGAACTCTTTTAATGCCTGTTAGCATTTGAGATCTACAGAACCTCTGGGTGGTGTGTTAAATTTGGACAGAATCCATTTGAGGTTTGGAAAAGGGAGAAGGAAGCCTTCCTTTTGCAGAAATAAAAATGCAGCTCAATCTTTGACTTGACTTGAGACGTAGTTGGAAAAAGCTGGCCACAGAAGTGGACATTATAGAAGAACTAGTATAAAAGAATTAACTAGATAGATTCTTCTGTGCAATTTTTGCTGTAGCAGATGTCTGCAGTGAGAATCTGCATTAATTTCAGTTATTGAACAAGGGGCTGTTTATTGTAAGTTAAAAAAAATTGTGCATGCAAACATCTTTCACTAGCATTTTCCCGTCTGTTATTGTGAGTTTAAGCACTACTGACATAAATAACCTAAGACGATTTTGTTGTAGGCTTCTTTTTTGTAAATCAGTTTCATTTCTATGTTATACTGCATGCTCACAGAAAAAATCAGCTGGGAATGGAGGATCAGGAGCTGCCTTTTTGATATGTTAGGTATCCAGATGTAATATTTCAGCAGTGTTGGATTTACTTTATGTAAATTATTTTAAGCATTTTCTTACTTAATGAAGGGTTTCAAGAACTTCAGTGTGTGGTGTCTTACATAAATTGATCCATTTTCTGTTGAATCAAGTTTTAGAATGTTTTTTGCCAGCTTAATGATCTTTCAGTTTTTCTAGAAAATAAAAATGACTCTTACCAATTACAAAACCACATAATACTTATAAGAAGATTATATTTTTAAAATATTACAGAAATTTTAATTGAAATAGCTTAAATATCTTCAATGATAACCTCTTATGGTTATTTTCTTTTATTCTATTTTGAGCTGTAGTCGATTTGCTTTATTTTATTCAAACAGACAACTCTTATATGAGTAAAGACCAGCATGGTTCATCATCTGAGAGTGAAGATGAAGCACTGGGTAAATATCATGAGGCCTTGTCTAGAACCCAGAGTTCCAGGCTGCCAGTGGTGGATGGCAGACA